TAGGAACTGCACATGTGCAACTCCCAACAAGAGAATGTAGAGACAGATGAATCACTCCATAGCTATAACGAAGCTTTTAACACAGGGTGAAAAGAGGAGCTGCAGCAAAGTGCAGCAATTTTATTTTTGGAAAATTAAACCATGTAAACCTGTTCTGGTACAACCCCTAAATAAGATTTTGAGCCTGAAAATGAGTATAATACCACCTCTTTAATGTGTTTGGAGAATGAACTTATGCGGGTAACATGGGACAGCATTTTGAAATGTGATGATCGAAATGCACGTTGCATGTAATGATTTAATGAATATTGTTGATAAATATAATAAATTTATTTATAATGCACTTTACATTTCAGGGAAATCTCAAAGTGCTACACATAATTTGCAAGTATCTTAAGAAAATAACTCCAAGAGGAAGAAATCTTTTCCATGGATTAATGTGTCGATCACACAAATAATGAAGCAAAGAAATTAAGCACTTTTTTAAAGAGTTAAATGAATACTGCTTACTGGTAACTAAAGATCTGTATTAATATTACATTAATATGATAACAGAAGCAAAGGGCAATAATTTGCTAATTTGGAAACAAATGAATAGTTTACTGAAATCACAGAAGAATAATATTTAAAAAAAAAAATACAATTATTTCAGAAAGTGGACAACTTGCATAAGCTTTTAATGAGTATTTTATTGAGTCAGTAGAGGAGCTGCCAATAACTTTGGACAGACCGGCTGGCCCATGGATAACACTATAAGTGAAGATAAAGATGGGGCATTTGAACTGTAACAAATCACCTAAAATCAAGTCGTTGAGATTATCAGTAAATTCAAAAGATTTTGAATCTGGATATTTCCTTTTTGAAGAGGCATTGTCACATATTTCCTGAACCATTAACTTGCTCAACATTTCTTTGTCTAGTGGAGAGTTTCCAGAAATGTGGAAAAAAGCAAGATCACTACCTATTTTTAAATCTGGTGCAGCTGAGCAGGTGGATAATTACCGGCCAACAAGTATCCTGCCTGTCTTTTCAAAGGTTTTTGAAAAGATTGTGGCAATTAATGAATCATTTATAAATAAATAATTATCTACACCCACTGCAATTTGGGCTCTGTAGAGAACCCTAAGTTCCCCTTTAAAAAAGCTTTCAATACAGTTAATCATAATGTTCTTGTTTTCAAACTTTCAAAGTAAAATTTTTCAGAGAACACTTTGGCTTGGTTTAAATCATATCTTACAAGTTTTGAACAATGTGTCATTATCAATAAAAAAACCTCACCTTTTTGTGTAACATGAATCCCTCAGGATGCTAGGACTGACCCTCTGTAGTCTATTCATAGTTTTCAGTCACGTGACATGCACGGTGACCTAGAAGGCAAAACAACGGACCAACATAGCGGCTCACACCACGAATCTCCCGTAGAAATGCCGCAAAAGCAGTCAAATTTTATTTGTAAAATTGATTTGGATTATCTGATCCATATAACGTTACAGCATCCGCTGCTGCATTTCTACCGTTATAAACCACCATGTCCCTGCGGCCGCCCGGACTGCAGTAATGTTTACTTTTACCTTCTGGGAATCCCTCACCTAACACAGCCCATGCTTGTCTCCTCGATTAGTAAATCTGAAAGCACTACAACCATCCAGCATTTTGGCAACACAAAAAGTAACAAACTGTAACAGTGTATCACTTGCATATTGGCTGGCAGGCAATGGAAATGAATGTCTTTTGCCCTCCAAGGGTGAGTGTGATGTCACGTGAAAACTATGACTATATAGAGGGTATGCACATGATGTCACAGATCGCAGTTACACTCACTGAGTGGCAGAAAGACGAGCAGCAGTGTTGGCTTGAATCAGCTAAAACCAAACAACACATCTAAAATGGGAAAGAGCTGGACTACTGGTTCTTTGGTAAGCAGTAAGGATCACTGTCGAGTCCAACTGCCTTTAATTTGAGCAAATAATCACTTGTTTTACTCCGTTTGCTTAACGCAGCCATGGTAACAAATGTTTTGCGACTCAGTCCAGCATGTTCCAGAAGGGGAAGTGACATCAATGCATACCCACTATAAATGACCTTCCAGAATCTTGCTGGTCTCCAAATGTATGTGGATGACGTATATACGCATATAATAAATCAGTTAACGCAGTGGCTGATCAATTATCACTGCACCTGGAGGCTATAGCCAGAAGGCCACAAAATTCATGTCTTTTGTTGACACTTAAGGTAAAAAAAAAAAAAAAACTTTTTCTTCAGGTAGACCATCAGTTTTACAAAAATTAGATGTCAAGCTGCAATAAATGAAATATGTAGTTTGCCTAAATGTAGGTTGGACTATACATGAGCATACTCACAAATATACAAACAGGAAAATATAAAAATGATAGCACAAAATTATATTGTATTACTTTATCACACATAAGCAGATGGATAGCATTTATGTTACAGCTTTACAGAAGAACTCAGCAGAGCACAGTCTGTAAATGCCCCCCATGCAGCTTTGATGTGCCTAAAAGCTAACATTACAGTAACTTTTGTTCAACAGAGGTGAAATAGAGTAAAAAAATATGTGTTGCTTTTTACCTGTTAACATCTTGGCTTCTTCACTGGTTGTTGACATAAGTGTAGTAATACAGTAACAAAAGTATTAAAAATTCTAAAAATAACGCCTTTAAAGTATTCGATTACAAAAGTCTTTAATATATTCTTTCCGTTCGTAGGATTAAATAAATGCCCCAACATCATACTTTTTTTTTTTTGTTTTTGTTTTTTCTGTGTGTGACTTCACAATTTACTCCGTTTGGAGTGACTTGGTTGTTGTACAACAGTACAGTTGGTGTTTACGTCAATGTTTGCTTAATGCTCTTGAGTGTGGAGTGTTCGTGGTGCACAAGCTCTGCCGTGAGTCAGTTAAGCCTTGATTATACTTTCCGCGTCTGCGAGTATGCAATGGTCCGCATGACGAAAAAATCGTGTCCGCCAAGCTGAAGGTAGTATAAACAGAAGCAGTCCGTGTCCCTTCCAGAGTATATTCAAGGCTTTAGTGATGGGAAAGGTGACTCTTTTGACAGACTCAAATCTTCAAATGTCGTTCATTAAAATGAACTAATCTCTTTTTGAGTCATTTCGTTCATTTGAACTAGGCTGGTTATTGCGGCGCTGCAGCCCTCTAGTGGGCGATTTTAAAAAAACAAAACAAAAAAGAAAACCAAAAACACCACAGTTCTCAAACACAGAAGGCTGCCTGGCTTGCTTTAATTGACAAAGTATAATGCACCAATTCACCTCTTGATCATTCTCTATCGTTCTATAAAGCCCCATGGGGCCACAACCAAATTCAAACCATGTAAAAACAAAAATATGTTGTTAGTATTCAATCAACAAACAAATTTCCTTTCGAGGACAATAAAGTATACTACTACTACCACTACTCGGGCTAAATCTGTCCATTTCATAGTCTTTCCTGATTATACAAATAGACCCGCTATATATGTATATATAATTATAATTACTATCATTATTTCTCTAAAGTGCTCATTCATACAGTAGCCTCAAATGTCCCTATCATGAGTAAAATCTAAATATTAACATCAGATTTTCTATTATATATAAAAAATAAGCTTGACACACTATATGAATGAACACATGAATAAAACACTCAAACACTGCCAGGTTGTTCACCAGTCAAGAGCTGTGAAACAACAGCACGGCTCTGTTTTTACATAAAAAGTAAGAGTTACATTGGTGTTCTGTTAGGTGTACACTCACCACAGGGCTAATGTAACGTTGCCATGTGGCTATGTTTTAATGACCGGATCCGTTTGTTATGGAGAGGAGACTACCTTGGAGGTAACTCAGCTCCCTGTACAACTCTGCCAGGGTACTGAAGTGGAGCGGACCCAGAATAACTCTCATCAGCTGTTAGCTGTAAACACTAGCAGGACTGAAGTTATGGTACAGCTTTGTTAAAACTATAACACAGCATCACTGCACTGTAATAACATTATGCTTTATTAAATGTCACATAATTAACAAAATAGATATATGTCAGTCCAGTGACTGTTACCTGACAACTGACTTGCCTCACTAGAAATTATCCGGTAACTATGTTATGTCCCAGTTATTTTACGATATTAATGGAGATGGCATTACTCTGCTTAATTGCTAGGATGCTTTGTGTGCATTGTGTTCTTTTAGGTTCGCAGTATCCATCATTTTGCAGTAATGTCTGGTCTGGTCTTGTCAAAAGAGATGGCTACCTGCTCACCTGCTCCTCCTGTGGATGCTGAACAACATCTCTGGTGACTGTTATGACTATTTACCAGCTTCACTGTAACATTAATTTCAATGAGGCCACTGACTTGACATGACAAAATTTAGGGTTTGTTTTCAAAGAGTTGAAGCTGGATGTATTTTGACAGGAAATCATTTTTTACATGTAGTAGCTAAATGTTCATAAACATCACAATTTTAAAAATGTTCAAGATTTACAGTCATGATTATAATAATTGTACAATTTGCAAATAAATGCTATATGATGATGCCAGTCTATTCTCTTATGATGCCAACCTATGTACTGTATGTTTGTGTGAGCATCTAGGATTGATGGTTCATTTTGTTCAATTTCTGTCTGTCCTCCAGAGTCCAGAGTATATTTCTTTGCTCCTGATGCTGTCACAACTAGAGGAATATTCTAAAGCCAACATCACCATAACTTCAAGGTAACCTCAAACACTGTCTCCTCAACAGTTTCAGAAAAGTCACATTATAGCAAAAAACACCAAAAACAAGGTTCTTGCACTGCATGTTCTGCTTTGCTCTGGTAAGTATTCTTGGAAGCGAGTAGGGGAGATTGTAGGAGCTGAATGTATTTGTATAACCTGTCATGATCTATTCTGATTAGCAGGTGTAATTACTTTTTAAAACACAGAGGCCACAGTTGAATTGATTGTTATAGGCAATGCAGCAGGGTCAGTATTCTGTATGACAGCAGATGTAATGTAATGAAGGAGCCTTGAGAGTTAACACAACAGACGTCCTGTCTCATCAACATGCTTATAACTTCATAAAAAATTGTTTGAACAGATGTACCTAAGTAAAGTATCAAAGATGACTAGGGTTGGGCTGACAGACATCACGATGTTGAGCCGTCACCATGAATTATCTGATTAGGTAATAATAGCCATGATAGACAAATAAAATATTACTATAAATCGGAATAAAATAATGAAGTTGTTCCGGATCACAATACCTGGATTTTGAAAAAGGCTAAAACACAGAATTTCCATTTTACATTCAAAAGAGTTTAACACAATTACAACACTCATTTTACTGTACAAATGGGTTGAGTAATACTACCCACTGTGCTGAACACTCATTCAGATGGAGCACTGGTAACACATGCACTAATATTTACATGCAAAGCTGGTCATGAGAGGGAACTGTCCCTAGTTAGCTTTCCACCAATTAGTGGGTCTTCTTCTCCATCATCAGGCATTTCCTGTAGGTACATCAGCATCTCTGCTTCAGCTTTTTTAATCAGCAGTGAACACGGCTGCGGTAGGTGCTCTTAGGTGGCCTATCCCAAGAAGGCTGCCAGAGAACCTTTTTACTTCTTAGGTATCATGTGATCCCCTCTGTATCTTGTTTCAAGCTGACCTGGCAGCTCATACTTGTCAGATGTCTGCTGCATGGCCTTAAATGGCTCTTCTTTATGGTATAAAACTAAACCATTTCTTTTGCTAGGTAGCGAGTTACAGCATCAGTACACTACTTCCACACATCACTGTCAAGCTTGTACTTTTTACTTTTGGCAAAATCCTCAGATATGGTTGGTTGTTTGCTTGCTGTTTTGATAGAGCCAGTTGTGTGTGATGGCAGTGTATTCTGCAGTATGGTGAAAATGGTCATGTAAATTTATTGTCTGTCCATCTCTCCAGCTGTTGGTACACTGGCAGGTTTAGATTTAGTTTAGATTCGACCTCTAATTTGTTAATTCTAAGTCCTAACTCAATAATTATATTGTTCAACATTTTATAATTTGCTGTAACACGTCAAACTTTTATTTAATGTCATGCCCCATTCAAGCTGTGATTGGTTAACAAAAAGTGACTGACAAGCACGTCGGCTCTGTGAAAAGTTGAACATGTTGACCACTAAACGCACCGATATACAGTGGGTACGGAAAGTATTAGTGTTAGTAATTCTGTCTCCTTAACCCTGAGCAAATCCTTTTAAAAGATGTCAGTTTGTGACACTAGTGTCAAACTGTGTACAAAATATCCACTTCCCCTTTAACATTCTGTTTGGCAAATTTAATCAGGCTGTGGTGATGTCTGATCCCATGAATGGGCTGCCAAACTCTGTTGAATCTTTGCATCAGCGTTCTGAAACAAGGATCATACCATTTTCACTTTTTAGAGAGAGCTCAATGTCACTCATTGAACTACTGGTTTTCTCACCCTACGTTAATATACAGTCTATAAATATTAACATATAATGCTGTAAATAAAAACATGAGAAGAAAGAAGCTTTTAATAAATCATTTAATCTTGGACTTATCTATGAACTTTGTTTCCGTAACCCTTAAGGCAGGGTGTCATTCTTAAATTCAGTCTAGTTCAATCCGAGATTTGACACACTTCTGTTAGCTAGGGCAAATTAAATTTCTGATATTGTTTTAAAAGCTGTAGCTTTGCCCTCTAAACTACGACTGTGGTTGTGAGTGGCATGCTATAGTCCTACAGTGGCAGCTTAAACTGAAAAACATGTCAAACCAGATGTGTTTCATCCATCCATCGTCAACCGCTTATCCTGTGTACAGGGTCGTGGGGGGCTGGAGCGAATCCCAGCTTACATTGGGCAAAAGGTGGGGTACACCCTGGACAGGTCGCCAGTCTATCGCAGGAGATGTTTCAATTCAGTTTTACTTAAAGTGTCAATTCATGCGTTTTAGCTGTGTCTTTTCTGCACTAGCCATGTAACATCTTATACAACACTCACACTATGCACAGTACTAAACCACTGTAATACACAGCTGTATTGAAGCTGCTGATGTACTGATTTTTGCCTAATGACAAATCTACAAAGCATATATACTCAGCAATCCAGTTTGTAAAAGTAACTGTCATGATCACTGTTGTTCTGATTGGATTTTTGTGTCTTTTTCTAGTTCCCCCATCAACAATTCAGCTGTGATTCACTTAAATGTAACCTACAGCTCCAAATGGAACTACTCATCTATAATCACAGTGCCTGACCAGGTAACTCATGGCACACAAAAAAGAAAACGTTATACTGCATATTGCAGCAGGGAAACATACTTTCAAACTAGTCTTCTTCTGGGCTAGTCTGGGTGGATGGATGGGGATGGATGACATGGTTTTGTATCTGTGTGGTCTGTTGTACATGCAACACCCAGATGTGATCAGTGTTTCCGACATATAGACTTTACTTGGGCGGGCCGCCCAGGCATGTTAACGGCCGCCCAGGTTTATTCGGTGACCCATTTTGCAGACACAGTGAGATACTATCTGCGTTACAAGACACAGACAGGGGGGATATTTTACGAACACAGTATAGGTACTGCAACAATGAACACACCTAATGCAGATGTCATTCGGTACCAAGTTGTTTTCAATCTTTTTGATAGGATACATCATTGACAAGAACTGAAGGGAAAAGCAAAGTCAGAAGATTCAAGTAGTGAGGAAACAGTAAAATAAGGTGGCTAGAATTAAAATGGTGAAACAAGAAATAAAAATTTCTCTGTGCCAAACAGCTCCATTGTTGTCCAGAAAAGAGATTAAAATGCCTCAAATACAAAGACCAGAGCACATCTCTGTGCGCTTAAACCATGTGAAATTCAATATTACTCAACATTGCGTATACTGAGTTCAAGATTAATGTCATGGAGACAATCATCATGTTTACATATGTACTTAATACTTACCAAGTTGTTGACTAAAACCTCTTGGGTTTATGTTGTTTTTGTTTAGGTGTTGCTGCCACTGGAGGCAACCTCAGTCAGTTTCAATGTGACTACCCATGATGTCGGTCAGGTGACTACATATGTGCTTAGCAACAACACAGACCTCAACAGGTTGGTATATGTGACATGAGACGTAACGTTTTCTGTTTTCATTAATTCCAACCTGTCCGCTGTTCCATCAGTCCAGCACAAAATCATATTATCCAGTAAGTAGAATAAATGAACAGGGGTTTGTCTTATGGACAATGATGTCTGGCAGCTAACACTGTAGTACAGAAAATATTCACATAATATTGCAACTGTCTTGCCAGAGACTAACATAATAGGTAGTTGATTCAGCAGAGTTGGCGTCCCTTTAATCTCACTCTTGCAATGCTCTTTCTTTCTTTCTTTAGTCCTCGACACTAATCCATTGTTTGCTCCCTCAGGTGACTCTTATTATTGTAACCATAGTTCTCAGCCATTGCTGAAGTGATGTTAGTAATGTTATGCTCCACACAGACCCATTGTTGCCTGTTAATAAACTCTGTTTAACTCGCACTGTTATCTGACACAGATCTCACACATATACCTCTAATTTGGGTTTAAACACAACCACACACAGACACAACTGTGCCTAATGTAAAAAACATTAAGCAGAGTTTTTTTTTTTTTACAAGTTTCTTACACTATTTTATCTCTAAATCCATTTCTGAGAAGGCGAGAAATCAACTGTGTAGACTTTGAATATTGGCAGTGATGGAAATTGATGGCAAATTGAAAATGTGCTCAGACGTTTTCGGGAGCTCCACAAGTGCCAGTGGGGAAAGCTAATGAGCCGGCCGGCCATTCAGCTCACAGAGCCATCCGTCCTTACAGTCACACAGACCACTGCAGCAGACGAGTCCAGCAACAATGGCACAGGAAAGACCCACAGCTCTAAGAGCGTTTTTATGTTTGTACCGCTGTTATTCTTCAATTACATTTTGAGTAACTACAGTCGTGAACACCTTCTTTAATAATCCTCAATCTCCTCCCATTTAGGTGGGGTGTGTACATGATCTCCTCTATATATGCCTTTCTGGCACATTGCGATGGTGAATTTCTACTGCCATCTAGTGGCCTCTTGTACAAATTTAACCAATTTTTATTAATTATTTTACTTTTGTCTGTTAAAATTAACTTTTTTTAACTATATAACTTCGCCACAACATTGTTTTTATATTTTTAGTTTGATCTTGTCATACAATTTACCATTAGAACCTCCAGAAGGTCAAATTGTATTTTTTAAAAGGTTAACATTTTCTGATTACACAATCATTTTAAATGAACCATGGTGCGTAAAAAGACCTTTTTCAATACATTTCAATATATTTCATAAATAAATGTTTCTCAACAGAATCTTAGGGGTTTTCCAAAGTAGCCCTTTGAAAGTGTTTTTTTTTGGCACAGAATGATCATTATTTCTTGGAGGTGGCCTTTTTTGGCATAAAATGCTCATTATCTCCCTTTCTCAGCGGTGATGTTTACTTTCTGGGTTATACTGCCTATTTTTTGGTTACAGATAATTACTCATGGCCCTGCTAAGTCTGTCAGTAAGCTAAGCATTCTCCAGATAATATCATCCTCCCTTCTCGCACCTAGATCCTTACCTCTTTTAGACTTTTTATCCTGGTCTTTTGATGTCTTAGAGTGCAAATTGCTTTTGGTTAAAGAAAAAAACATTATATAACGATTTGACCTTTTGAAACATGCCTTTAAAATATAAATGAGATAATGCAACAATAAAATTATAACAAAAATACACAACAGTAATGTTGTAGTTCATGTACTTTCCCCTTAAAAACATACTACTATGTGTGTAGTCATGTGACTCCATCCCCTCAAATCCTGCTAAGGGTTCATTTCAACAGCAGTTGTGGAAACAACAGACAGACTTTTATTAACTGACACACTGTGACCTACATGTACATTTACTGCCAGACTGACAACTTACTCTCTCGCTTTCACAGTCACTTTCTATTGCTCGCGCTCACATTGCTCACCCACACACTCACTACACACACACATTGCACTGCAAAAGACCTAACTTTGCTGCTGTGATAACGTCACTCGTCATGAAGATGTCCTTTGAAGAATGATGAGAGGAAGCTAGCCAGGCATGTGTTGCTGTGCTTGTATAGTGTGCGAGTGAAAATCAGTAATGTTAGTTGTGCATTGATTTTAATCAACATGTAAAATTTTAGTAGTTGTGGTCATAATTCAGCAGCAACAATGCGCCGATTATAGGGAGAGGAGGGGGGAGCAACCACCACAATATTCAGTACAGACTGTTTAAAGACTGGTAATAGTAGTACAGACTGAATGAATAATGGTAGAAATATTTATAGTAATGCTAGATAATAACAATAGGAATAGTAATAACAATTGTAGCAAAGGTTGTCCAAACTACAGCTCAAGAAACAACTGCAGAAAGCTATAGGAGGACAAAGGAAGGGGACGAGAAAGCACAAGACTATGGGAAAGGGAGGAAATCGAGTTAGCAACATGCATTAATGGGATGAGGTTGTGTACAGAGGGAGAGAAAGAGGAGGATAGCGGAGCTTGGTGCATCATGGGAAGTCCCCCGGCAGTCTAAGCCTATAGCAGCATAACAAAATGGTCACCTGAGCCAGCCCTAACTATAAGCTTTATCAAAGAAGAAAGTCGTAAGCCTACTCTTAAAGGCGGAGATGGTGTCTGCCTCCTAAACCCACACTGGAATCTGGTTCCACAGGAGAGGAGCTTGATAGCTGAACGCTCTGCCTCCCATTCTACTTTGGGAGACTCTAGGAACCACAAGTAACCCTGCATTCTGGGAGCGAAGTGCTCTGGTCGGGTAGTAAGGTAGTATGAGCTCTTTAATATATGATGGTGTCTGACCATTAAGAGCTTTGTAGGTGACCAGAATGATTTTAAATTCTCTTCTGGATTTTACAGAAGCCAGTGCAGAGAAGCTAAACAGGAGAAATCTGATCTCTTTTTCCTTTCGGGAACATGCGCCACAGCCTTCTGGATCAGGTGAAGAGTCTTAATGAAAATATTCGAACAGGCTAATAATAAGGAATTGCAGTAATCCAGCCTAGAAATAACAAATGCATCGAGTAGTTTTTATGCATCATTTTTAGACAGGATGTTCCTGATTTTTACAATATTACGTAGGTGAAAAATGGCGGTCCTTGAAGTTTGCTTAATGTGAGCATTAAAGGGCATGTCCTGATCAAAGAGAATTCGAGATTCCTCACAGTGGTGCTGGAGGACAGGGCGATGCCATTGAGAGTAACTATCTTTAGATAATGCCTCTCAGAGGTGCTTGGGCCCCATTACAATAACTTGAACTCTATTAGAGAATTAATCCGATATTCCGATTCAAATATCACTGTGCAGTCTAAACCCATTGCGAGAATGTGTTTCCCTTATGTATGGAACTTGATCACAACCTGGCAATGTCTGATCTGTATGAAATTACTGACCTTTATCTAAGACTTCGTCAAATGATTATGGATGAGCTGAAGGAATAAATCTTTGAGAAAAAGCTAAATAGGCCTACCACTATACATAAATATGCTCTGAATTGTTTATTGCACAACATCTGAAATACAGGCATTCATGGTGGATACAATAGTGACACAGTCCTTGAATTAAAGGAAAATTAGAATTATAGGCCCCTGTCTATATAGCATATACAACCCAACAAATTTACTTTCTTTCAATTTACATTTACTCATTTGGCAGACGCTTTTATCCAAAGCGACTTACATTTGAGGAACAACATACAAGCATCAACAGAGCATCAACTACAGATCTACAGTGGGTACGGAAAGTATTCAGACCCCTTTAAATTTTTCACTCTTTGTTTCATTACAGCCATTTTCCAAAAATCAAAAAAGTTCATTTTATTTCTCAGTAATGTACACTCAGCACCCCATCTTGACAGAAAAAAACAGAAATGTAGAAATTTTTGCAAATTTATTAAAAAAGAAAAACTGAAATACATACTAGTAAGAGCAGCAATAAATACTAGTAAGAGCTCACAGTACATATCACATCAATGGGGTGGATACCTAGGGAAGGAAGTAAGAGTTAACAAAAAGTGCAATCAATACAAGATCATTGTAGGGGATAGAAAAAGAAGAGCACAGGAAGTGCATGTTAGAGGTTAGGAGTTAGAGGTGTGAGGAAGTGTTCTCGGAAGAGATGAATTTTCAAGAGCTTCTTGAAATTAGAGAGGGACGCCCCTGCTCTGATGGCGTGTGGTAGCTCGTTCCACCATCGTGGTGTCAGATGAGAATAGCCGGGACTGGGATTGCTTGAAGGGATGGCAGAGCCAGGCGGCGTTCGTTGGAGGAGCGTAGAGGCCGAGAAGGAACGTATGTTTATATTATGGAGTTTAGGTAGATGGGCGCAGACCCATTAGTCAGTCATTAGTGACTTGAATTTGATTCTGGAGGCCACAGGGAGCAATGGAGTAATGGAGTGACATGAGTCCTTTTGGGTTGATCAAAAACCAGACGCGCTGCTGCGTTCTGAACAGTTTGTAAGGGTTTCAACGCACAAGCTGGAAGACCTGCTAGGAGGGTATTGCAATAGTCAATGCGAGAGATAACCATGGCCTGTACCAGAAGCTGGGTGGCGTACTGAGAGAGGTAGGGCCTAATTTTCCTTATGTTGTATATAGCAAAGCGGCATGACCGAGAGACAGCAGCAACATGGTCTGAAAAGGACAGCTGGTCATCAATCATGACACCCAAGTTTCTCACCAGCTTGGCTGGAATGACCAAGAGTTCAGTCTTAGAGAGGTTTAGTTGAAGGTGGCAAGCCTTCATCCATGCAGATATGTTAGACAGTCCGTGATCCGCGCCGAGACAGTGGGATTGCCTGGCGGGAAGAATAGGTAGAGTTGCGTGTCGTCTGCGTAGTAGTGGTAAGAGAAGCCGTGCGAGCGAATGATCGACCCCAGTGAGGTGGTGTAAATTGAGAAGAGAAGGGGCCCAAGCACTGAGCCTTGGGGCATCCCTGTGGAGAGGCAGTGGGAGGAGGATAATTGTCCTTGCCACAAAACATTGTAGGATTGCCCCAAGAGGTAGGATTCGAACCACAGGAGTGCTTTACTCGAGATGCCCATTGCTGAGAGAGCGGATAGCAGGATCCTGTGGTTGACTG